TGTCGCAATATTTTCTATTCAAATATTTGTGATTTTAAACGTTAAATCAGCTTAAAATAGCTTAAGCTAAATTAATTACATATACTTCTACATATGCGTTTAGCTATGGAACAAGTGGCATTTATAATTCTCATGAATCCTTCTATTTGAAATTTTAATTATTACATTTCTGCGTTTTATACACATAATATCTAGCAATAACATTACTATTATTATATTTTAATATTTCTATTCCATAATTTCGTTTATGCTTTTAAAGTTGTTTAAAACAATTTAACAATCTCTAGGTTTATTTAATTTTTTGTTCATAAAAAATTTTTTTTTTTGATTAAAATATCTTAATTTATTGAATCTTTTGGTCAAAGCCTTACAATAAGTAATAAAATCTTAAATTTATTTAAAACTAGACAAGCTCAAGGTTGGGGTTTGATGAAACGTTACTCTTTAGAAAGCAGGTAGATCTTTTATTTTAAAGCGAGTTTGATTACAGGAATGAAGCAAGGCATTAACTTATGGATTTGGATGATTACGAAATTTAAGCCCATAGTTCTTTCTGCACAGGTCGTACCCCACAAATGATTCAATACATCCAAATCGGTTTGTTACCGCAGTAGCAGAACTTTGTTGTCAAGGCTAAGTTTTGAATTTTTATTTAACAGCGAGTATAAATTTGCTTCTCTTATTTTCATGCTAGTAATTTTGGAGAATATATGTTTTCTCCATGCGAGTCTTCTGTCGAAATGAATGCCTGGGTAAATTACATCATTTACTAGTGGTACTAATACATTAATTTTAATCGACTGACACATTTTTGGTCTAAGTGATAACGTAACATGCTAACACTTTTGTTCATTTACATTTATTCGCCAGTTGGCTAGCCGTTCTTCGACCAACGCTAAATGCTCCTCTAGCACCCTTGACGCTCTGTTATTAGATATATTACGCCATACTAGGGCTGTGTCATCCGCAAATTTCGATGTCAATACATTATTACCAGTTAAAATGTCTGCTGTATATAAGATATATAGAGTTGGGCCTAGCACACTCCCCTAAGGTACACCAGCCCTTATCGATAGTTTAACTGATATGAAACTAGCTACTTTACGGTAAATTTTCTATTTTTTAAATGAGACTTGAATGTTTTATCCCATTCGAACGAATATAATGTTTTACACAAAACCCGAATTGGTGAGTTAGAATAATTATTTTCATGGCGGAAAGAAGACATCTTTGAAAGTAAAACTGTTTCAAATATTTTGGAAAGGCAGGGTATTTGCCCGATAAGAAGACGCCTGCGTTAAGTTTTTCCCAGGTTTGTCTATTATGATGATCTGCGACTTTTTCCATGAATGTGAATAATACCCGAAACTAAAAACTGCATTAAAAAGTAAGGAGAGAATTACTTCAGCAATATCTGGTAACTCTAGGACTATTAGAGTAATTTTATCGTGTCCTGATGACTTTATTGGATTTATCTCTTCTATAATATTTTTAATTTAAGAAGTTGAAGTCTTAGTAGACAAGAGCGGCTTGTTGCAGTGTTGGCAGCTCAAAGTCGTTTTTTGGAAATTAGGGTGAAATATCTTCAACCCAATTACCACTCACGTCTCTTATGGGTATGTTCGATCCTATCGGTGGCTTAATGTGTTTTTGCGCTGTTCAAAGAGAGCTATGTTTTTTGTTGAATTTGGTCTCAATTTCCTTATATTATTTTCTTAGTTTCCGTATAGCCTCCTTCAATTGCAGCTGAATAAAAGGAGATCGATTTGCTTGCCATTCACGTTTGTTTTTTTTAGCTAGCTTGCCTTTTTTTAGCTACTAGCTTATCTATTTTATCATGTGTGATTTTCCTTAGGACAGGCGGCATATTGTCGCAACCTGTTGCTACAGAGTATAATAGTTTTGTTCACCTAACGGTTGTTTGTATCACCTAAAACTAATCGAGTTAGATAAAGGGTTATGTATATATAAATGATCAGTATGAAGAGACGAGTTGAAATCCGGGTGACTGTCTGTCCGTCCGTCCGTCTGTCCGTCCGTCCGTGCAAGCTCTAGCTTTAGTAAAAATTGAGATGTCTTTATGAAACTTGGTAGACATGTTTCTTGATACCGTGAGACGGTTGGTATTGCAGATGGGCGTAATCGGACCACTGCCACGCCCACAAAACGTCATTATTCAAAAACAAATAAATTGCCATAACTAAGCTCCACAACAAGATATAAGACTCTTATTTGGTATACAGGATCACAATAGGGAGGGGCATCTGCAGTTAATAGGTATAATGTGCATATCCCGCCCCTAATAGGTTTAATGTGCATATATCCTAAACCGGTAATGAAATAATAACAAAATTCACTGGAAGCAAATGTTTTTAGAACCTCTACCTACAGTGTGAAAATGGGTGAAATCGGGTGGCGCCCACTCCCCATATAACGGTACTGGTAAAAACTACTAAAAGCGCGATAAATCAAGTACTAAACACGCCAGAGACATTAAATTTTATCTCTGGGATGGTATGAGATGACTTTATAGGAACCGCGTTCAAAATTAGACAGTGGGCGTGGCACAGCCCACTTTTAGGTGAAAACCCATATCTTGGGATCTGCTTAACCGATTTCAACCAAATTCAGTGCAAATGGGTGAAATCGGACTACAACCACGCCTATTTTCCATATAACACCATTTTAAATTCCATCTGATTCTTTCACTTTCCACTATGCAAATCAGGCAACAATGTCTGTATCGGGATTAGCGTGAATAATGCGATTAAAGTATGCCACCTTGTGGCCAAAAATTGTCTAAATCGAATCAAAACTGTTCAAGCCCCTAAGCACTAAATATGTGAACCCCAGTGCCTATAGTTGACCTTCTACCGAAAATATCAGTCAATCCACAAAGAAATCTCAAACGAGTATACTATTTGACTTTGCGAGAGTATAAAATGTTCGGTTACATCCGAACTTAGCCCTTCCTTACTTGTTTTTATTTGGTGTTGCTAAGACAGCTGCTTTAGATATTATATCATTAAATTCGTTTATGCTTTGCTTAATGCCTTTTTCTGAGCTTATTCTATAATCAACATTTAATTGGGTACTGATATATTTTTTGTATTTTAATAAGTGCGTTATGATGTTAAGCCCACTTTTGGTGATACGACCAAGGGTTGTTCACATAGCTTTATTGGTACTGGAGAGTGATCGGAAGATAGGTCAGTACATGTAAAATCAGTTATAAGTGATCTGTTTATAGTTTTTATTACACTAAAATCAATTAAATTTGGTATTTAATTTCGATCACCGGGCCATTATGTCGGCTTACTAGGTGAAATTATATCAAGGTTATTTTGTATATACTGTAATACAGTTGTCTTCCTTTCGGGGTTCTTGTTTGTTAGATGTCGTTTCCAATAATACCATTACATATATATTTTTTTCACTTACAAATCTAATAACCTCCAATTTGTGCTGGTTAACAACGTTAGCATTCCATATAAAAATATTTAGTTAGCTCATTTTTTACTATAAAAAGTTTGCCGCATTTGGTTTTGAGCTTTAATAAGATATTGAATCAAAATTTGCATTGTTTATTCTTAACATAATCAGACTTTGAACTCTGGACAGTGATTTCAATTTTTGCTACAAGAAATGTTTATCATTTGGTTTCGATGTCCTTGAATTCCGAATGACAACTTCGATTTCAGGTCTTTAAATACATAATTACTAAATTTTTTGGTTAACTCTTCTTTCTTGAATGTACATTTGGAAATAGGGTGTAAGTCTCCACATACTAAACAAATACTGCGAAGGTTGCAATATGATTTCGTGTGCCCATATTCTTGGCAATTAGTGTATTATACTGGATCACCTCTTTTATGTAGTTCTTCAACGGTAACTCTACGATATAGAATATATTTTAAATTATAGATCGGATGTGTTCAATTCAATTGTGAACGTTTGTTGGAGTACTTTATTTCTAATAAAAAAATTTACAACCGTTTTAATATCGTAACCACATTCTTTAAGAGCTTCTTTTATATCATTGGGGTCTTTTGAAGACTCTATATTTTTAAAGACAACAACTAGGCCTTTAGAGCTCTTCAATTAATTTTTGTTATTATTTGACAAGAATTTTACAACTTTCATGAAACTTTTCGTGTACGTTTGTATTTTTGTTTCATCAATATTGCCAAACGGTAACATTTTTATCTGTGTTGAGTTGGGGTGAAAAAATGTCCGATGGTGTAAGAAAATTTTATATTTTGCTGTCCAAATAAAGTAAAATTTTGACCTTTGAAATTCAAAACAAACGCAATTGCGTCGTTTGAACTTTCGTCTTGGTAATTAAGTTATTAAATATATTCGCAAAATAAATATAACAATAAAATTACAATATTATTGAAACTATAAAAATTTATTCATTTGAAGTTTTGATATTAATTGAGAATTTTAGGCAAAGTGTTAGCCCATTACTAGGCTATGCATACATACTTATGTCTTCATATTAATATTGGAATAAATAATTTGAAGAAACAGTTTATACTAACATAAGAATTACATCTTATATTATATAGCCAACACGTTAACAAAATTCAAACTCCCGAAATTTTATACTTTTTTCAAGGATGTTTATTTTAGAGATCATATTATTGTTTTCAAATTTATTAAATATTTTTCCTTTGTATACTTTATGCCATCTTACTTAAATATTTTCATTTTAACCCGATGTATTCTTTCATTAAGACTCGCAGCTTATCCAATTTTTAAACAATTAAAATGTTTTTTCGACTTTTCTATTGTACAAAATAATGCATACATATGTACATATAGATCTGCTAATCAACTACAAAATATTATTTTTACTTCTTACTTAAATAAAAAAAAAAAGACAAGAACTTTTTTTATTCAAAGTATAATTCCTGTATTGAATGGAATATATAATAACATAAATAAATGCATAATTACGAATAAATATCATATTTTATAACTTACCAGTTTTGTATGCAACGATTTTTTTAATTACATTTATAAGTTGTCAAATTTGGATTCACACGAACATGTCAGAATTTTACTTATTCGAATTCCCATTTTTCTACCGTTTGTCACACAGCTTATGTGAAAGTTATTTGTGCCTACAATGAGACTTAAATGAGACACAATGGTATTAGAGCTGCACTCGTGCAAATATATAGGAGACGGTTTGGTTATACCGACTGTGGTGGCTTCCTTCGCAACGTCATTTGAGTCGTTAATCAGTAAAGCAAATCTATTGCCATTTAGAGCTGCAGTCTTCTTAACACTGGGAGTGCCGGGTTGAAATGTTTTGCTATTAACCGCTGTTTTTGTGGGACTACATTTTCTTTTTATATTAATGTAGCAGTCAATACCAACCTGAACAGATTTACCTTTTTTAACTGGCACACTCTCACCTTCTACTCTGTTTGCCTTGTGCCCGCGAGTTTGTTGACTTGCATGCTTGTTGGTGCCTGCAAGTTTGTTGCGGTTTGTTGTTGCTTCTGCTGACGGTGTCTTCTGATCGCTGCGATGACTCATCTTTATCTTCGCTTGATTTTTTTGTTGTTAGATAAGTAAGATAGTAGTTATACATTCATTTGTATAAATGTAAAGTTTTGAGAGAAAAAAGCCAAGAAAAGAAAAGGACATACAAGTAAGTATTAATATGGTATATGTATATGCATAAATACATACTAACAGTGGTTAAATAAAATTATAACAAATGGGCGCGAAACCAATTGGAATACAAAACTAACACAGAGAACCAGTAAAAATTAAAAGCGGGTGCGATCTAATACAAACTAATTGAAAAAAAAAAAACAAAAAAACAATCTACATTAAGCACGTTAGATTAATCCTCGATGCCTGCTTGTTGGAGGACAGTAACACACAGGGAAAACGCTGGACAAAAATTATAACAAAAGGAAAACGAGAAGAAGCATACATACATAAGTATCACTACAAAAAACTCCCTTAGCCGAAAATGTGAGTCCATTCCAATAATATTTTAAATGAGAAGTATTTCATGTATATATCTATGTGTGTTCAATTTACAGTTTTATCAGTATTTCGGCATAGAGTGAATAATAATAAAACCAACTGCTCTTAAGTTTAAAAAAAAAAGCTCGTATAAATTATGTATGCACCGAATTAACTGAAAGCAAACAAAACTGAAAGTACGATACCTGAATATAAACTTTTTGTGTCTCCAAACACCGTAATTTTCTTCAAAAAAAAAAAAAATTTTGCAAAGTTAAGTATTCCTGCTTGCAATTTCTAGCGATACCGCTTGAGCTAAAAAAGCAACAAGAAGGATCGCTTACAACAAGTAACCAAAGATGGAAAATAAAAATTGGAATATTTAAATATATATAAAGGTTTTCCAATAAGAGCAATATAATTTTTTTTTTTCAAAAAAAAAAAACAAAAACACACACTGATTGTTAACGAAATTTAAATGTTTTTTATTTAATGCGAAGTACAATCGATACAATTAAGTTCTAAATATAACATGATTAAAATGGCCTACACGACTTTTTTTAAAGGAACGAATTCGATGTACCCAAATTACGAGTACTTTTTCAACTAAATCAAGTCGTATGTCATGAATAGCACGTTCAATATTGAAACACAAGAAGTAGTCTAATTGTATTAAATCACAACTTCTTGGAGGCCATTCAATGTCACAATTTCTTGAAATTATCGAATTTCCAAACTTTTCTCGCAATAATTCAGTTGTTGCACGTGCTGTGTGGCACGTAGCCCCCGTTTGTTGGAATTAAATGTTGTCAAGATCAACTTCTTCCGATTCCGATTGCTATACGCACTCTCCATTGACAGTAACGGTGTCACCACCTTCATTTCGAAAGAAGTACGGATCGATGATTCCATAAGACCAAAAACCACTCTACTGTCAATTTAGGTCAATGTAATGGTTGTTCATGAATAATTTGCGGATTTTCTTCGCACCAGAATCGACAGTTTGTTTATTTATCACACCTATACGATATTTATTTATTACGACTATAAAATGGCAAAAGCGCACAAAAACTTGCAATTGGAGATAGATTATTTTGATAATAAAATTGAATAATTTGTAAAGGTTCTTCTTGCGTATATCTATCCACGATGAAATTATAAACATTACTGAATACATTGAAAAAAAATACAGATCAGGACATTTTAAAAATTGCCCAAACGACACTTAAAAATCACTACATCCCTATTGGAAAACCCAATATATATACATATTATAAAAATACGTGCAATACATATGTGCATATACCTGCGATATATATATGTAAATACAAAGTATTATTTGGACTTTTAAACTTTGCCACGAAACCTTTAAATCGCAATTAACATCTGTTCCAATATATATACATAAATATGTATGTACATAGTTATATGGTACATACATAAATTAACTAAATATATAGAAGTTACAAACAACAAACTGTGGTTTAACTACCTGTCTATATGCTTAATTCGTGGTACGAAACACCCCACAAAATAAAACCCAAAAATAAATTTTTATATACATAAGTCAAGATTTCAACATGCAAACTTTCTAGTAATTCCATTTGGGCTAAAAAAGCAACCAGCAGAATCGCTTATAATATAAGCAAGGACAAAAAAAAAATAACAATTAAATAATAATCGAAATTTATGTATGTACACATACATATGTATTTACTTAAACATTTTCTTGTTTCCCGCATACCACAATCAAACTAATTTTTCATTTTCCTTACTCATTCTCTCGGTAAAAATATTCATATAAAAAATATTGCACTCATACTTACATACATATTTTAAAACTGTAAACATGTACAAATATATAAAAGAACTATATACTTAGATATTACCATTTTCTGTGCTCTCATCAAACGATTACCAATACGTTGATATGTACATACATTTATGTGCATTAAGCATTTCGCTACATTGTACATAATTATTACATACATATATGCATATGAATTATTAATTCAAAGTATGATATTTGAATAATTCCCACAAAAGGGAACCAACTCAGTTGCTGTAAGTATCACTGGGATTGGAATAGAATATCCACCTACCTTCAACAGGTGAGAATTGCTTCAAAGCACCAAACCTTTCAAATATAATCGGTATGCCAGCGAAGGGGCTGTCTGTTTTTAATATTTGTTTTAATCTTGAATCAACAGTGCTAAACATACGACTATGATTAGTTTTAAATCGTTAAGCCTGGAATATAATGAATTAACTATTTCATTGCTAAGTGGCCTCAACTCCCTATTCGACTGGTTAGGTGTCGGTCCTCTCGTTCTAAATGCTGCTTTACCAGTAGGTGCGCAAAGACGAACTTTTAAGGAACTTGGATTGGTTACATATGGATACATTAAATATGTTCTTTGCTTAATATTTAGACTTTGAACTAACGAAAATACTACTTCAACTGGAACTAAAGGGGGTAGTTTAATTAGTCTAATAGTGCAATCAGATTTAGTGCCATTATTTGTTGAATCTTCACCATACAAGTCCAGCAAGTTAATATTTGGGCTTATTTCTGGAAGTGTTAACACCCGAAACTCATTCTCCATAAAAGATAGTCCATTTTGTACACCTTTGTCTAAAACTAATTAATTTATATGCCTTTCCAGGACATTTTGTGTGCTCTTTGCTCAAACACAGCATATTTTCTTTGATTTCCCTCAATTAAAATACGATGTGTTATACAAGTCTACTCGTTATCATTTTCAATGATATCATGTTAAATCTTATATATCGAATTATACATAATTTGGTACATTTTTTAACGAAAACGCTACCATCTCTAAAGTACATGACAGCCGCACTTTCTAGTAATTTATCATCTTCACCTCTTCCCCATGATCACTCTCTTGTGCTCTTCATTTTTAAATCAGTTAAGCAAAGAGTTTCTAACTGAACTGGCCGCTTAACATAACGGTCTAAAATACCAGCTACGAATATTTCAGTCGAACTTGAAGGAAGGTGTCGGCTATACGTAACATGTGTCTAAACATTCGGAAATTTTTACACGCATTGACTTTATGCCGGATTTTTTGGATCATGAAGTCACCAAACCAAAATTTGGCGATTTATTCGTGCGTTCTACTTGGCCTGCTTGGCCAGCGCTGTGCCTTCATCGGTTCTTCTTCTATGGCAAGATCCTTTTGCCTCAAAATCGATCGTAAGAGATGCAGTGAGCTTTCTGTCTTCAGTAAGGCTTCTAGTTCTAGCTTCACAAAGAACTACAAGATTATGTGTTCATTTAAGTTTGCCAGCATGTGACCGATATACACGGAGAGCTTGATATGCTTTTATCCAGTTTTAGCACCAGGACACACTTTTACCAGGAAAAGAAGTCCTCTTAATCCATTAATATATCTCACAGAATACGCAATACTTTTGGCATAGTCACTGAGGTCGTCTTATTCGAAATCGGGCAAGTTATAATTAAATTTCGATGAACTATACAGCCATCATATTTTTTTTGCAGAAAGCAATAATTTTTTGTTTCCATTTGTCCTTGTCGAGGCATATGGTGATCATGTTTTTTCAGAAGCAACCTGCAAAAGATGGTTTCAACGGTTCAAAGATAATGATGTTGATGTGAGAAATGAAGAACGTGGAAGATTACAAAAAAATTTAGAAGACACCGAACTGCTAGCAATCTTGGATGAAGATGATACTTTGAGTCAAAAGCAAATGGCAGCCATGTTAAATGTTGCACAACAAACAATATCAAACCGTTTGAAAGATATGGGAAAGATTCAAAAGTGTGGAAAATGGGTATCATGAATTGAATGAAAGACAAATGGAAAACCGAAAAAACACTTGTGAAATTTTGCTTCAAAGACATGAAATAAAATCAGTTTTGCATCGATCTGTCGATAAAAAATTGATTTATTTTAAGAATCTTAAACGGAGAAAATCAATCAAAACCAAATTAATCCGGGACAACCATTATGCAATGCTCTGTTTGGCGGGATCAGAAGGGTGTGATATAACATGAGCATCTAAAACCTGGTGAAACTGTTAATACTAATCCCTACAGACACCAAATGATCAATTTGAACCATGTATTGATCGAAAAACTGCCAGAATGAGCCAGAATACACGGCAAAGTAATTTTGCTACACGACAATGCACTTACATACAAAGCAAAATCGGTTCAGGATACAATGAAAGTAGTTGGCTGGGAGCAGCTACCCCGCCCGTCGTATTCACCAGACTTGGCACCTTCCGATTACCATTTGTTTGCATCGATGGTACACGCATTGGCTGAACAGCACTTCGATTTCTACGCAGAAGTCGAAAATTGGGTGTCTAATTAGTTTGCTTCAAAAGACGAATATTTCTATTGGCACGGTATTTACAAATTGACAGAAAGGTGGTCAAAATGTGTCAAAAGCAATGTCAATATTTTGAATAAATTAAGTTTACTTTCCCATTCCAAATTAGTATTTCATTTTCACAAACTAGGTATTTGTTTTTCTGGTTCAACGAAGCTGAAATATGCATTCATCGAATGCCTTCCGCCTTGTTGGATAGGCTGAACAGCACTCATTGTAGTTATTGTTTTTCATTCCCACTTAATTTTTTTTTATTATTTATATTATATTATATTTGCTTATTTTTATGGTATTTGTTTTTTTTCTTTGATTTTGTTTTGCGTAAATTTCTTTTGGTATAGAATTGCATTCACAAGGCGAATTACAAAAACACGTCCCTGGACTTTGACCGTATTGTTCAGCTAATATTGGTATACAAATTATAATTTATCGTAGTTTTAAATTATTTTGTTTTACGTTGCATTTTTTATATATATATATAAAAAAGAAAATGTGTGGGTATGTTCCGTGTACGCTCCGAAACGGCTGGACCGATTTCAATGAAACTATCAGGAAATCTTTAGATTGACCTGACGAGTTTGGTGACGATCGGAGCACTTTTCTTTTTGAACTGTCAAATTTCTTTTGGAACTGTCAAATGTAGTTGTTATTT